TTTGTATGTCTTTGTATGTAAAGCCAGGACTATCCATGACATTACATCATCTGTTGTCTTCACTCTAACTTCTGAAATGAAACATTGTTCTTGGTTCCATTTGGACACTATTTCAATTTTGGTTCATGCATCATTCAGCTGCAAATCACATTTAGGGAATAACTAGCCTTGGATTATATACACACACAAATCGAAAATAAGCACCATTTTCTCCACGTGTATTTTACCACCAACATGTATGTACAGTCATACTGGCGGAAGCGGCCACGTTTATGCAGAGCAGTGTATGTTGTTATTTTTGGAACAGTGTCCTGTTCCACTTTATGTTTTATATTTATTTTATGTAAACATATATCTATCACAAAGAGACAATACATTTTCAAATAAATTCACATAATTGTACCTGCTCTATATCCTGAAAAAATAGTACCTTGATCTCCAATTAGATTATATTTCATATGTGGCAGATACATTATTCTTAAACATAGTACCATACTTGTGGGTTTAATTTTAGTCTTGGTTGTGAGTTTCGCTCCGGAAACCAAACGTCTTAAGCCTGTTGCTCTATGCAAAGTTCACTTGGACGGGGAATAATTAGACCTGGAGTGAGTAAATGAGTATGCTTTTAGCAATGTTCCAACAATATCACGGCGGGGAAAAACAGAAATAGGCTTCACACATTGTACTCATGTGGGAATTCGAGCCCGTGTCTTCAACGTCACGAGCAAACACTTCAACCACTAACACTCCTAATTTGACTTGGAATTCAAATCCATAAAACTCAAAGCAGCCAGTAACATAAGATCAACAATGTATTTCACCCACAACACGTCTGCACAGTTATACTGTCGGGAGCGTTCTTATCTAAAACCAATTCCTATTTATGTATATGTTATGTTAACATAGATCTGTTGCTCAGAGACATCGTATTTTCAGATATAATCGCTTCATTGCATCCGCCCGAACTCCTGAAAATGTACATTGGTCTCTATTTGGATTTTATTTCCTATTCGAAAGATACGTATTCTAACACAAAATACCAGATTTCTGGGTGAAAGTTTTGACGGGAACGGGAACGTCGGTGTAGGCCAGTCTATGATACTACTGTTGTTGATGCCAGCAGAAAAGAGAAGCTTTCTCTTCCACTTTATGTATATATTATGTTAACATAGATCTATCAGACGGCCATAAATTATTTCATTTTCAAACATATGAACTTGATTGCATCAGCTGGTACCTCCTGAAATTCAACATTGGTCTCCTGTGGATTTTATAACCAATACACGATACCATGTTTCTTGGTCTAATTGTTGTTGTGAGTTATTTTCCCGATCTGACCCTATTTCCGTATGCATGCACATTTTTATTTGGGTTGGGGATAACTAGCCTTGGAACGTGGGAAATGACAACAAATGGCATCTACGGCACATTTCACCAACACCTTTTGAGTAGTTATAATGATAGTAGCGGGATCTCAGATAGAAAACAGGCAAAACCTTTGTTGGTGTGAGCTAAAGACGAGCAGAAGTTGGTTCCATGCTAGTTGTAAGTGTAAATTTGTCATAGTCTAGTTATTGTACTGCGATGTGTCGCCAGGTGTTTATGTAGTTTAATTTTGTTTTTATCTATATTGAGCCCTTAAAGTCACGATATGGCGGAACGTGTGAGTGAGTTGACATCGGCAATACATCTGCTATATTGTAGTGAGTGAGTGAGCTTATTTTTACGCCGCACTCGGCAATATTCCAGCTATATGGCGGCGGTCTGTAAATAATCGAGTCTGGACCTGACAATCCACTGATCAACAGTACGAGCATCGATCTGCGCAACTGGGAACCGATCACATATGTCAACCAAGTCAGCGAGCATGACCACCCAATCATGTTAGTCGCCTCTTACGACAAGCATAGGTTGCTGAAGATCAATAGTCTGGTTATGACTCCATCATAGACAAACTGACTTCCAATAACACGTATATTGGTAGGAAGTGGAACACAAGAGAGTTAGTGAGTGAGTTTAGTTTCACGCCGTTTTTGGCAATATCACGACGATGAAAACAAGAAATGGGCATCACGCATTGTACCTATGTGGGGACTAGCAACCAGGTCTTCGGCTTGGCGAGATAACGCTTAATCCACTAGGCTACGCCACCGCCCAAATGAAGATGGCATGAGGTGTATTCAGATATGAGTGGGGAATAACTTGCGTGTGTACAGATGAAAGTCCTACGGAATAAGTGCACTAAGTTAGATCTTTGTGCTTACACAACAAACCTGGGCCTAGATTTTCGAAGCTCTCTTAGCGCTACGATAGTCGTAAGTGCCATATAATAACATTAACTTACGACTATCTTAGCGCTAAGAGAGCTTCGAAAATCTAGGCCCAGATTAGGAGGGAATGAACCACAAGGAAGTAACTCGCCTGGAGAACAAGAAGTAACACAGCTTATCCACGTCGCCATACACGGAACTGAAACAATGAGAACAACACAATCAGGAGACAACATCCTGTCGGTAAACATTGTCTCTAGTGATCTACCTTCAGTTGTTCACAATCTTTTAGCCCATTGGATATTGTATTGTTATGTATGGCAATCTCTTGTGATTGGTACATGATGGTTTTATCTATAGTGAGTGAGTAAGGTAAACGTTAGGGTCACATCAGCATTATTGCAGCCATATCGTGACTATAAAAGACAGTAGACAGTAAAATAACTCGACTATGACAGAGTTAGACTAAGGCACGCTACCTTAAAAGGATAATTCTATACGCAACGAAACAAGATAAAAATGGGCCAATAAATGAACCGCCACTAACTGAGTAAGTGAGTGAATATTGTTTAACGCCGCATCAGCAATGTTGCAGCTATTCGCGGCGAGGCCTCCAACTGAAGGTAGATCACCATACCAGAGACCATGGGCACAGCATCCCTTCAGAAAGTGGCGAATTTGACAACTTTAGCCAAGTATCAAACGAACACATATTCTACGATTAAATCATAGTACAAAAACTGTACTTTGAATGATACAATTTTACGTAGCCTCTCAGGAGGACGGTCATTTTATACAACCTCAACTCCATTTGATGGTTTCTGCCAAACACAATCTCAGTTACCATATATATTCTACCAATCATAGACAGCATTTATTATATGCAAAACATTTCCATCAACATTTGTGATTCAACACAATTTCCAATCAACCAGGAATCTCGCCCCTTTAGAGGTAACTGGCCAGAACGCCTAAAGTGTCCTCCACATGGAAGTTACTCCATCGTTGCAGACTTCTGTGAAACGAATTCGTCATCATCACCTTCACGTGAGAGATCACCAAGTGAACTACAATGAGTCATTCACCAAATGTAGTTCAATAGAAGTACAGAGAACTTCAAAAAAGAACTTTGGTGAGCTACAGTTGTTAGTTCAAGACTTAAACCGTCAGCATTATGTCTCCAAGAGACCCATCTAGAACATACTGACACATGTGAATAAGAAGTACAAGTATCATCATTAATTTTCTCCCGGATAAAGCAACTGGAGCTGCTACTAAATTAGTTAAACAGACCATCATTCATAGTGCTGTTCATCTAAATACTCATCTTCAAGCCGTAGCTATTCGCCTTACTCTGCACATTGCATTTACTTTGAGCTCTTTGTGCATCCCATCTTCATCTGCACTTTGACCATCTGATCTTCAGAAACTGTATGATCAACTACCTAAGCCCTGTATTAACATTGGCGGTTTGAACGGGCACAACCATCTAAGGGAGGTACAAGTACAAACAATAAAGGCAAGGTTATTGAAGACTTTATTTCTGATAATAGTTTGGGGGTTTTAATTATGATTCAAGAACCTATTTACAACCTACTACAGGAACCTATTCTTCACTTGATCTGTCCCTCTTTGATTCAAATGTTCACAACGAATGTGAATGGTCTGTTCATGATGACCTTTGTGGAAGTGGTCACTTCCCTACTGTCCTAAAAGCTATCAAACCAGATGAAGATCCACCCTCATTACGGTGGAATAGTATGAAGGCCAATTGGTTCTTATATGAAACAATGTGTATTGAAAAGTTTAAACTTAATGAAATGTTTCAGATCCTATGCAGTTGTTTTCAGTTGAAATTGCAGACCAAACAATTCCTAAATCCGCTGCAAGTCCTCAAATTCGTAAACCAAGCTTTAATAACGAATACAAACGAGACGCAAGAGAGTGTAGGAACAAAGCGGAAACATATTTCCGCCGTCATCCTACAGAACATAACTAAAAAAATGTTAAAATTACTAGTGCTAAGGCTTGACAAATTCATAGCAAAATTTATTTGCGCACACCTTTGAGAGGGTACGTACGTCTCATTTCATTTGATGTATTTTTATATTTACCACCGTTTTAATAGTAGGATATTTGTTCTGTCAATGTTCGGCTAAATGTCTCGCCAACACCTGATGGGATGGTGTAAATCCAGGAGGGGTCCATGCAGGCAGCAAATCACAAACAATAAAGGCAAGGTTATGGTATGATGATCTGCCTTCACTTATATACTCAGTCCCTTTTTATATTGTATTGTTTTCTGTTGTGATACATTTTGTTATGACATGTTGGTCCTAAACCAAACCTGTGATACTCAGGTGTGTTACTGTCCTTTGACAGCAAGCTTTCATGGTATAGATTTGTATAGATGTAATGTACAGGTGGCTCTCGCCACTGTATGGCTGAAATATTACTGATGTGAAGTTACATATTAACTCACTCACCCTTAATAGACGATTGGGCCGAGAGACTTTCTTCCTGCGCCTGCAGTCATCAAGACCTGAAAATATATACTATATACGTGTGCATTTGCAGCATTTCATACGTTTGTTTCCGGAGACAAGACATACTTTACTATAATTGGTATATGGCTGAGATATTTTTCCAATGCGCAGTTACTTCTTAACATACTCACGCTTGTGAACAATAAACTTGGGAGTATGTGTGGTTGTCATCGTGGTAGTAGGTCTAGTTGTGGTTGTCATCGTGGTAGTAGGTGTGGTTGTCATCGTGGTAGTAGTTGTGGTTGTCATCGTGGTAGTAGTTGTGGTTGTCATCGTGGTAGTAAGTGTGGTTGTCATCGTGGTAGTAGTTGTGGTTGTCATCGTGGTAGTAGTTGTGGTTGTCATCGTGGTAGTAGGTGTGGTTGTCATCGTGGTAGTAGGTGTGGTTGTCATCGTGGTAGTTGTAATGGTTGTCATCGTGGTAGTAGTTGTGGTTATCATCGTAGTAGATGTGGTTGTCATCGTGGTAGTTGTGGTTCTCATCGTGGTAGTAGGTGTAGTTGTGGTTGTCATCGTCGTAGCTGTGGTTGTCATCGTGGTAGTAGGTGTGGTAGTCATCGTGGTAGTAGTTGTGGTTTTCATCGTGGTAGTAGGTGTAGTTGTGGTTGTCATCGTGGTAGCTGTGGTTGTCATAGTGGTAGTAGGTGTGGTTGTCATCGTGGTAGTAGGTGTGATTGTCATCGTGGTAGTAGGTGTAGTTCTTGTCATCGTGGTAGTAGTTGTGGTTGTCATCGTGGTAGTAGGTGTGGTTGTCATTGTGATAGTAGGCGTGGTTGTCATTGTGGTAGTAGTTGTGGTTGTCATCATGGTAGTAGGTGTTGTTGTCATCGTGGTAGTAGTTTTGGTTGTCATCGTGGTAGTAGGTGTTGTTGTCATAGTGTTAGTAGGTGAAGTTGTCATTGTGGTAGTAGTTCTGGTTGCCATCGTGGTAGTAGGTGTGGTTGTCATCTTGGTAGTAGTTGTGGTTTTCATCGTGGTAGTAGGTGTGGTTGTCATCGTGGTAGTATGTGTGGTTGTCATAGTGATAGTAGTTGTGGTTGTCATTGTGGAAGTAGTTGTGGTTGTCATGGTGGTAGTAGGTGTAGTTGTTGTTGTCATCGTGGTGGTAGTTGTTGTTGTCATCGTGGTAGTAGGTGTAGTTGTCATCGTGGTGGTAGGTGTGGTTGTCATCGTGGTAGTTGTGGTTCTCATCGTGGTAGTAGGTGTAGTTGTGGTTGTCATCGTGGTAGCTGTGGTTGTCATCGTGGTAGTAGGTGTGGTAGTCATCGTGGTAGTAGTTGTGGTTCTCATCGTGGTAGTAGGTGTAGTTGTGGTTGTCATCGTGGTAGCTGTGGTTGTCATAGTGGTAGTAGGTGTGGTTGTCATCGTGGTAGTAGGTGTGATTGTCATCGTGGTAGTAGGTGTAGTTCTTGTCATCGTGGTAGTACTTTTGGTTGTCATCGTGGTAGTAGGTGTGGTTGTCATTGTGATAGTAGGCGTGGTTGTCATTGTGGTAGTAGTTGTGGTTGTCATCATGGTAGTAGGTGTGGTTGTCATCGTGGTAGTAGTTTTGGTTGTCATCGTGGTAGTAGGTGTTGTTGTCATAGTGTTAGTAGGTGTAGTTGTCATTGTGGTAGTAGTTCTGGTTGCCATCGTGGTAGTAGGTGTGGTTGTCATCTTGGTAGTAGTTGTGGTTTTCATCGTGGTAGTAGGTGTGGTTGTCATCGTGGTAGTATGTGTGGTTGTCATAGTGATAGTAGTTGTGGTTGTCATCGTGGAAGTAGTTGTGGTTGTCATGGTGGTAGTAGGTGTAGTTGTTGTTGTCATCGTGGTGGTAGTTGTTGTTGTCATCGTGGTAGTAGGTGTAGTTGTCATCGTGGTGGTAGGTGTGGTTGTCATCGTGGTAGTAGGTGTGGTTCTCATCGAAGCAGTGGTGGTTGTCATCGTTGTAGAAGTACTTGTGGTCTGTAAGGAACATTAGCACTGAGCTGTATCGCGTGATGGTGAATAGAGATCTTTATTCATTCAGACGAAGAGCCTGGGGCATGTTGAACAGAATGTTCATATTCTTTTCCCCAGACACATCCAAGTCATTATTATTATCGTAAATATAACTGCTTTTAGAAAAGCGTTCATCTGTGACAATTAGTGACCAAGCCCTTAAGAAAAAATAAAGCTTGACGAAGGCTGAAGTGCCCTGAGAGGATATGTAAGCACACATCATACAAAGAATTGAATAATGTGATCTCCTGGTAAATGAGGAATAATGTTTATGTTGTTTGAATAATTGTATTGTAGAAATAACTGTGTTTACAAATCATTACAAATTACGGCAAAGGCATAATACTTCGCCTACAATATAGAGAATAAATACAATGGCAGTACAAATACAATAGCAATAAAATGACTATTTGTATTTGAGTGACTAAAAAATATAGTAAGGGATAATAATTGTCGCCAAGTTCCAACAGTGGTAGGGGCGGTGGGGTAGCCTAGTGGTTAAAGCGTTCGCTCGTCACGCCGAAGATCCAGGGTCGATTCCCTACACGGGTACAATGTGTGAGGCCCATATCTTGTGTAGCCGTCGTGATATTGCTAGAATATTGCTAAAAGCGGTGTAAAACTAAACTCACTCACTCTAACACGTTTTGTGAATGCTGGGTTATGGTAGAAAAAAAAAATGGATAACCTACAACATTACGGAATGTGTAAAATACACATACATTAAAACAATAAAAGATTTTCAGATATTTAATGATTGAATATTACCCACAAATTTGGAATCACCTGGAATATGCACATTAAGTTTAATGCTTTAACTCAATTTGAAAAATGATATATGAACTATGTATATGCACTGCAATTACAGACACCACACTTGCTGGTATTTATTTTAATTTTATTATTATCAACACAATATTACAGTAGGTTTTACTACAATTGACAACAGTTATACAGTACGCTTACTCTACATTAAAAGCTCACGACCTGTGAGAAGTGTTCAAGTACGTGTTGCGTACATGTATGGTCCTAACGGAAAGTATACACTTTTCTTTCGCGCAAGATAGCACTTTGAATTTAGCCATTTTAACCTTTAAAAAACAAATTAAACACACTATCGTGTTCAAGACCTAGTGTCCAAATGAAACACATCAATTGGACTTCTAATATCCATGGCCAGGTTTGGACACAACTGTGATCAGTTGGCAATAACATAATTGGGTAGAGCACCCGCACAATTGAAATGTAGACGGAGGCAAATATGAAATGTAGACGGAGGCAAATATGAAATGTGAGTGAGTGAGTTTAGCTTTTACGCCGCTTTTAGCAATATTGCAGCAATATCACGGCTGGGGACACCAGAAATGGGTATCACACATTGTCTCCATGTGGGGAATCGAACTCGGGCCTTCAGCGTGACGAGCGAACGCTTAACCACTAGGGTACCCCACCGCCCCAAATATGAATTGTGGATTAAAGGCAGATATGAAATATGGATTAAAAGCACATCAAATACCGTCAATATGCTATGGCTCCAGGATAGATTCAGGCTAGGTCTTCACCAACCCATATTTGAAGAGGCAACTAACGGGATGTGTGTGTGTGTGTGTGTGTCACGCAACAATATTCCAGCTATATGATGGCTGTCTGAAAATAATCCACTGATCAACAGCATGAGCATCGGTCTGCGCAATTGTGAACTGAAGACATGTGTCAACCATGTCAGCGAGCCTGACCACCCGATCCCGTTAGTCGCCTCTTACGACAAGCATGGGTTACTGAAGACCAATATTCTAACCCGGACCTTCACGGGTGGCAACTAACGGTATTTTGGTGGTTAGATTTGCTGACTTATTGATGTAAGCTTTTGTCTCTCAACGGCGTCAATCGATGCTCATGACAACAACAGAATTTTCTGGTCCAGATACACATCGAGACCACCCGGAGTATTGCTGGGTGCAGTGTTTAGCTATGCTATGGCAATGGACATTTCTTTGTGTTCAATACTGCGTGTTTGAGGTACAAGTACAGAAGCAAGGTGTAAAATTCCACGATATTGTGCCTAAAAGTTTTCAATGCTCGTATTTGGGTTATTTTACACCTTGACTTAGAGAGTCTGCCAACACATTTGTAAGTGACTAAGACGTTTAGAAATTTTCAAAATTCACAATTGATCCCATGTTACGCACTGACTGTCTTTGCACACTGACTGCAACAGTTACATGCAGTAAACAAACACGACTTACTTTGCAACAGATAGTTCCGGCTTTTTTACAGACTTTGTGAGGCAAGACCAGGCCACACACACTTGGCAGAACACAGGCAATCGGTCCTCCTTGGGGACACAATTTAACTGGAATTGAAAGGTGCACTTTGAACTGAACAAATTGGCAGAACACAGGCGCTCGGTCTTCTTTGGGGAGAAATTTTAACTGGAATTGAAAGGTACACTTTGAACTGAACAGATTGGCAGAACACAGGCGATCGGTCTTCTTTGGGGAGAAACTTTAACTGGAATTGAAAGGTACACTTTGAACTGAACAAATTGGCAGAACACATGCCTGTGGTCACCGTGAGGACAAATTGTAACTGGAATGGATAGTATACTTTGAACTGAACATATTACAGTGAGGTTAAAGAACTGAGAATATGATATGGTTGGTAACCTTTATAATTCAGGATTTTGATAGCACTTCTTCAGAACCGAGTTCCTGATCTTGCCGTTCAGTCAAAGGGGTTCTAACATCAAATAACATAATACTACAGGCAATTGTAATGCTTCACGCTTTGGTTTTTGGAGATTTGTCGTTTTCTTGAACATGAGTGAAACTGGTTTCGGTAGGACATGGTCTAAGTGCTTTGAAAACTACATTTTGACTTTGCATTCAGGTTACAGAAACACAGAAAACAAACACATTACCTGATTTGTGTTTCTTGGCCTGAACAAGAATGGTCCTCGCGAACTGACAAAATGGAAGCTTACTGGCGCCACACAGTGACACCAATTGCTTGTAACTGTATATGTCCACAGGGTCTAGTAACCCCAACAAAGCGGTGTCAGGATATTGTGGAGCAAGGTTACATCTGCTCCACATGCAGAATTCGGCCATGATGAAAAAGTTGGTACATGCCGCACTTAAAGCTGGGTGAGAGCAAACGACACGTGATGTAGTTGCAAAAATGATATCACAGTTGCTTAAAATAGCTGCTCTGAATTGGTTTGTTTGGAGGACTCCCCCCACCAAAGGGATCGCTAAGATATTTAGCCAAAATAACAGCATCTTTGTCTGACAATTCTGATAGCATAGTAACGTTTTCCAATTTATATACTTCCCAGAGGGAACGCACTGCTTATCAGATGTCTCATTAAAATAAGGCTATCTGCTGATAAACATTATCCAATTTCTGATGTGACAGACAATGACCTCACGCTAGTTGTATGTAATGTTTTCCCCCAGGTGTATATGTTTAATGCTGTGCGAGATGTACTGTAGGTCTAGAACGTCGGCGAACGGTGCTCCTGAATATCCTTACATTGTTGACATTGAAGTGTTCTGTCTGATGATCTGCTGACAAACGTTAAGGAATCTGGTCTCATTTTGAACTGCGATTTCAGACAGATACCTGAATAGTGAAAAAACATTGATGATCAATGCATTTGTACTGTCCTTAACTCAATGACATGAACTTGCAAGTGGATTTCCATATTGATTATTCGAATAAAAAAATTGCCATTTATAACAAAATGAATCGGACGTTAAAACGTAAGAATGACATTTCACCGGCCTGATGTGTTTTTTCCAAACTGGTAGAAAGTTTGTAAAAGAAATAATGTTACCAATCGCTTGTGGACCAGACAGTCGGGTTACTGACAAGGGCTTCGATCTACACAATTAAAACACTATGACATGCATCAACCATGCTGATCCCGTCAGTTGATAAGCTAAAGACAAGACCATGTTATATTTCTTCTCCCAGCCAATGAGTATTAATTGAAGTTTATTACTCACCCGTTGAATATATCACTGTTTAAAAAAATCTTCCATTTAATAACATCGCATGCTGTCGAAACTGTTGCCAAAGTACCAAAGTACTTTGACCAGTGGAACGTGACCGAAACAATGAGTGAGTGAGTTTAGTTTTACGCCGCACTCAGCAATATTCGAGCTATAATTATGGCGGCGGTGTGACCGAAACAAAATGTCGGCTGTCATTCACAACACATCGAAGTATAGATATTCATCTGTTCTTTGCACGGTTGAGTGTAATAGCATGTATATTGAAAAAATAATATGTTGGTTGAAGTCATTTGGTCCCATGTTCATAACCCCTTGGTTATGTTTTAAAAAATCAAATTAATAGACTGATGTTGACAATAATAAATGAAATAAATTCATATGCGTGACCCCTGTTATGACGGCGTAAATGCACTCGTTCTGAAGTTTGATTTCTGGGATATCCTTTTGCTAATGTTTGGTGAGTAATAAATAAAATACTGAACGATATCCCGCGTAAGACCATATTTATGAAACTCGTTAATGTTATTGGTATCTTACTCGCTTTTGCTCATTAGATACCGAGCGATTCCCTCGTTTCATAAATAGGCTGTCTCCCAAAACCCCTACAGCCCAGTACCCCTACAATTAGATAAAACAACACGCGACATTTACCTGCCTGGCATAATGAACTGACCCAAACGAGAGATTACAGGGTGGAGTATACAGTGTGAGATTAAGTTGCACAGAGTATACAGAAGAGAAGGAAATAAGATTGTGCTTTGGTTATTAGGGTTTTAACAATTTTAAATAATTGAGATGAATTAAATGACAGACAGACAGACAGAGTTTATTTGCAGTAAAAGGCCATAGGCCCAAAATACATTCAAAGGAAATGTCAGT